TATATTTCTTTTGGTTACTAGACGACATATATTAATCTTTGTACAGTGTTATTGGCTTGACTTTTATAAATTGAGAATACACTGAATACACCATAAGTTAAGAGTATAAGATTCCACCAAATATACAAACTCCACAACTCTTTCTTTACACCCCCTCGACCCCGCTTGACATTTAAAGAATTATGTCACATGTGAGAACTATTAAGTAGCCACTATATACATTTAGCAGAGCAGGACAAAGTTTGCACAGAGTTTGCAATACAGTAACGATATCATGAGTTCTCGTATATATTCAAGTATCATGAGTTCTCATATCCCCCAAGCCCATAACAGTACTGATTTCTTTTTCCATCAATCACTTGGTTAATTAATCAATTATTAAACTCCATGCACACACCTAAAAAAATCACTCACACAACTCAATTATCGTTTTAACAAATGGAGTACGGCTTAAAATTTGAACCAACTCACTCTACTATTAAATTAAATTAATAAATAGACAACAACCATCACATAAAAACTAATCATAAATAGAAAATTTTTAGCAATTTTCACACACGGAGCCAAATTCTACTTTGTACCAAGAATGATGCTTCAGAGTTATTGAAACTGGATATTATTCGTGTTAGTTTTTAATTATTTAAACCTTTTCAATTATTTAAATCTTTAAATAATAAACCACGCATAATACATCAACCCAACTCTTAATTCAAGTCTAGTTTAGTTCAAAAATTCACATGAAAAAACCCTTACCTTAAAAGTATTTTTCTTTAAATTGACAAAAAATTTCCTATTTGATTACAGCAACGACGACTATAACAGACGTTTTTAGGAGTAACACTGAAACGGAGTATGAGAATTTATCGACGTAACAACTTATCGGTGATTAGAAAATATTTTTATGTGAACACTTTCTACGTGAAACCTATGAGAATTTTTGAGACCGAAGTTGAGAGAAATGAAAATGGTGAGAGAATAATGCGAAATTAATTGGAGACTTAATTGACTTAGTTGTACTTTATTAATATTAATATTCACATGCTTAACACTTAATATTAATATTCACATGCTTAACACAATCACTAGTAACTCCACGTCATGTTACTATTCATATTTGATTATAATAATCTATTTTAATCTTTTTCTTAATTATTCTACACTTTAATTTAGTTACTAAATATTATATATTACTCTACCTCAAATAAATAAGTTGACAAATTAGAAACTAAGAATTCAACATCTCGTAATAATTAAGAACAACCAATTAGAACCTCATCACATTATGGTCACTAAAATAATTCAATTAAATTCGACTGTTTGATGCATGATCAAGAAATTAAAATTAAAGTAATCGCTAATTAATTAGTCAAAATAGAGGTGTTACATTTAGCTTTGAACTCAAAAAAAAAAAAACATTCCTTTAAGGATAAACTATTCAACCTAGAAAAAGATACTCTTTAGTGAATTTACAATAACATTAATTTTCATGATGCAAACGACCTCACTTAACAGTGACATTCTCGAAGCGCTATGGCTAAACAAAAGTGAGAGAAAGTAAAAATATTTTTAGAGTGAGGAATGAGATAGAGAGCTCACGTTTCTGACGTTTCTGGATGTTGAAATATTATGGGAGATGCTTCTATTTATATGCTAAAGGTTTGCATACAAAAACAAAATATCCATGGACTAAAATAAATGGTCCAATCAATTGGGACGTTTTGTCAATCGATTGAGATCCTTAAATAATCATTTGCAAAAGTTCAAAATGTAAATGATGGATACAAAGATGTTGCCCTTCATTAAGACACTATCAAAATTATTTATGGACATCATTGACACTAACCCAATCGATTGGGTATATGTTCCAATCGATTGTCCAGCTTAAAAATTTGTCTAAAACTATTATGATAGTCCCCGATTCATCTAGCACGATTTCAAATATTTTTGGGATGTTTTCTTAGAGAAATATAGGCTTTAAAACATGTTTTACTATGTGCCTGATTGAACCATATAACTTTACAAAAAAACCTTTATTTTTTACAAAACAAAATTCACTCACACGTCAATGTTCAAGCTTTCACACTTCATCTTTTTCACATTTTGAAACTTCAAGACTTGCTGAATAAACTAATCATATAAGAACTGGCTTGAATCTTGTTGAATATGAGGCTTGAGATATCTTTAAGTTGAATACCATCATCAGTGGATAAATCATCAAAAAATATTAGTTCATGTGCTTGATCTAGAGGAAAAGCTTTGAACAAAGTTTTCTTGTGCATCTTTAACCGCTTGACATGCTTTAAGGTTTCATCAAGTTGTCATATAAGTTATCATCGTGAAAATCACATTATCAATAGTAAACCATGATAGTCATATTTAGCTTTGATCACTTCTTTAAATACCCTGCAAAATATGGTTCCACAAGCTGGACCAATTAAAATCTATATTGTTTGTATTGGGGGATTATCTTAGAAAGTATCGATTTGGTTCGTGAAATTCACCTTGGAGAAAAAAAACTATTTTTTGGTTCATGAAGATCAGCTAGTTAAAAGCTCTATTGGTTGGAGATTAGTCTCGGTAAAATCTCTTTTGATTTTTGAGTTCAACATGGTGTAAAACTCAGTAGGTTCGAGATAGCCTAATAAAAATCTTGATTTGTTTCATGGTCATTCTGTGCAAACCCCGAACTCAATTTGGATGATAGGCTACTCAAAACTCTGTCTTGGTTCGAGATCAACATGTGCAAAATCTCTGTTTAGTTTGGAGACTAACCGTTCAAAGCCTTGTTCACTATTTGGTTTAGAAGTTACCCTGAAAAACTGTATTTCCTTGTATAAGAGGTTCGTGTGCACATCCTTATAAAGGCTCTCAAGTTGAGTGGATACTCTAAAGGATGATTCTGTGGGACATGATTAGGTCATCTTGACTAAACCTGTATAATTCTCTAGTGCTATTATTTTTCTCTTATCTATTTTATTTTTAAATATTTTCTTTTCATTGCTTATTTACTCAACTATTTTATAAAATATTTTCAAACTCTGATTTCAAAATGATTTTGTTTTAAACCAAAGTTTTAAACCTCCACAATTCATCCTCCCTCTTGTGTATGGAGTCACATGTCTAAAAAATACTTCATACATATCTCACTCGATGAGTTTACACCCGATCAAAAAACATGGAATATGTATAAAAACAGATGTAATATCATCTTCACGCACTAGTAGAGGGGTCGTTTGTATCATCCATCGAGAAAAGAATGATATGGTCAATGACTTGGCAGGCTCTGACATGGATCTTAAAGAGTTTTGGTTATCTATTGTACTGACTATTTTCTATATCTAGCTTAATTTAAATAAATTTGGTGATATTATGGACAATAGGGACAAAATAGGCATGATAACGAGGCGAGGCGGGACAGGGCAGATTTTAAGAGACCCAGACCCGCCCCGTCTCCCCCAGACCCAAACCTGCCCCTGTCCCCAAATCCGGTAGGAGCTAATAATTGGTCTCCATCCCCGCCCCCAATTGAGGAACGCGTTTTCCCGCACCCGACATGCCCCCACCTGTATACATTATATATATTTTAAAATATATATATATAGTTTTTTCTTCAATAACAATAAAAATCAATAATTTAACTAAATAATTAATTATTTTAAGAATAATCATATTATCTGATAATTTTAATTTAATTTTTATTTTCAAAAAATACATAATAATTCTAATTAACAAGATATTGTAAAATTAAGATGTGTAAACGAGTAATAAAATTATTAAAAATAAAAAAAAATAAATTAAATTTAATAGGCGGAGGTGGGCGGGTACTAGCATCCTCCGCCCCCACCCTTGTAAATAAAAACCGATTTTTCTCCGTTTCCGCACACGCCCTCAATTAAATCAGGGTTTTCTCATTAATTTTGGAGCAGGGTTTAACAGAGGCAGATTTATTTGTCATGCCTAGGACAAAATAAGTGACAAGAGTATGAATTTTTATGTAGAAATTAAAGATGATTACGGTTGTGAGAAAAATCGTTGAAAAAATGGCTAAAAAATGTATCATTTATTTCCAACGTCATTTATTTATTTATTTACAAATTCAACATTTGTTTTGGTCTAATGAAGTGTTTTAGTGAAAGGATGATCAAGTAATTTTAGTGGTATATAATGTAAATATGCATAACAGGTATATGATGATATAACACTAATCTAATAACATTATCATGACGCAGAAGAATTAGTAACTTTTAAACACACGTTAAACATCCCATCTCAAACACATAATCCACTCTAAAATTATAAATTATTTAAAATTTTAATCAAATCTAAAATGATTTTAATTATTTTTTAAATATTTGAAATTATTACCATTTTGTATTATTTTATACAAGCAAAGAACAAATGCAAAGCACAACTGCGTATATATTACAATTAACAAGCTACTTTTTCCATACATGATTTATACCCAAAAAAATTGTTAATGCTTCGTTTTACTAGAATATATTATTCATACTATATTAAAGCGTTTAGTTTATTCCATTTTGAAAGATAAATGAGACAAAATTTCCTTTAAAAAAACTCCAATTCTTAAAAAAAAAAAAAGAAAACACCAATTACCACTGGAAAGTTTTCTAACTAAAATAATCTATAACTTAAATGCTAACGTCCCATATTTTACATGTATATATTCTATTAACTGAGATCGTCATCATCAACATGTCTGGGTGGTGTAGTCGGTTATCACGCTAGTCTCACACACTAGAGGTCCCCGGTTCGAACCCGGGCTCAGACAACTTTTTTATTTATTTCATTATTTCTGTATTGGCTACGTCACTGACCCACAAGGCCCATAACATACCGGGCCCAATATGATTTTATCGTTTTTTCAGTTTCTTCTCAACTCATTAGGAAAGTCAAGGGTTTATGCAATCTACAGTTTCCCTTTCCGATTCACGCATTTCCATTTCCTTTTTTCTATCAATCGTAACGATTATTTGGTTTCCATGGAAGAAGATTCTCAGAACAGTAGCACCAATACAAGCCATTTACTCGGTTCTGTTCCAGTAAGTATGCATGCACTCGCTGCGTCTAGCTCTCAATGTTAAAATCACTTTTCAAAATTGCTTTTAATTTAAGCTATCAATTAACCAAATAAATCACGTTTGTTAGGTTTTCAAATTTATTTTGATTGTGGTTCTCTGATTATTATTCCTCTTTTGGTGATTAGGCTGTTGTTGCTGATGAAAAGAATGCCTCGAATAACCAAGGTAGATGAAATTTCAATTACAGCATTTTTTTTCTTCTAAAATGAAAATTCTTATACTGAGATTTGTGTTATTTTTTTCTCTATTACAAAGATTTTAATTACCTGAAAAATTTGCTTATGAACTTAACATGCAGTGCCTTATGCAAGTATGCAAACATTCCCTCCCAATAGTGGAGGCAGAGAACAGGGATATCAAACTCTTGGAACTCCAACTGGTAATGTTTTCCGGCTTAATTTTTTAGTAATGTACTCAATTTGATTCACTTTAATAATTGCATGTGGCTGAGGCGTTTAACATAATTTGTCATCTGGATTCTGAATTAAGTTGCGTATTTTGACCATTAGACGATTAATACACATTGTTGGTTATGTAGCTTGATTAGAGAATAGTTGCAATTTTTCTATAATAATAATTCGTGGATCTCTGGTTTATTTATTCATGCAGAAGCTTTTGGGGAACAGCCAGCTAGTAATTGGCAGGGATTCTTTAGTGTCTCGTCTTACACGCAGTATTTCAACGTGGACACGGATGTTGTTGTGAACAGATTGATAAGTTCCTTGAATCCTGTCGCTGATGACTTTTTTGGAAAGATAGATGCTAATCCTGATTTGTGAGTTCTGTATTTTATCTTTTGCTGCTCTAGATTTTGAATAACTAAAGTGTCAATACTGATTTTGATTAGATGTGGAAAATGCCATGCTTGGTGAAAAACTTTAGTTGACTATTGCACTGTCCTCATAACATTTATGAGGGAGAAAGTGAAACCTGCATTTTGCTTCTTTCACTTCTAGCCTTTTTTCTTCTTGCTTTCTTTTTGGTCTATTTTCTATTGTGGACCTCCACAAAATTGTTTACTTCCCTAATTGGAGTTTGAAAAAATAAAAGTCATACGGATTATGAATAATGCTCGAATTTGTTGTTGCTTTTTGCAAACTTTGGGTTCTTGAGGACTATAGATATGCTTATTTATGGGAGACATGATGAATTTTTTACCAGACTCTCTTAGCATCCTAGCCATTTTAGAAATGGATAACTTTGATCTTTCTTATATGAGTCAGATATATTTAATAACTATTTCTACCAATTCAATAAATATGTTGATCCAGCCATTTTAGAATAAAACAATTTATGGATTTTAGATCTTCCAAAATGTTGGTCATGTGTATACCTTAAAATTGTCGGTACCTAAAGAATGTTATAGTGGAGCTATGCAATATTTGTCTTCTCTTTCTGTTTTCCATTTGTGGGTTAAATTATTATTGTGATCCAGAATTTGGCTAGGAGATATGTAAAGACTAGTCTAAGACTGTTTTAGTCAGGATTTGAACTCAGGTTCTCCTGAACAGTACTTTCTTAATCGCATCATTAACCACTTTTTCACAACAATTTGGTTAAGAAAAATCTGATTTATTCTGTAGTTTTATTCTTCTTAATTTTATGTGATTTGATTCCGTCATTACTAGTCCTAATTAATATGACAATTACTATTGTATTCTCTTTTCCTGTGTACACTATAATTGTAGTAATAAAATATGAAAGAATTATTCCATTACTTTTCTACATGATATTATTACAGGTATGGGCTTATATGGATCTCAACAACATTGGTTTTTGTACTTGCCTTACTTGGTAATCTTGCAACGTACCTTATGCAAAAACATATAGATAACACTACTTCGTGGAGCTTTGACGTTAACTATGTGAATATGGCTGTGTGGTCTATATATGGCTATGTGATAGTGGTACCATTGGCATACTATTTTTTCCTTCAGTATATGGGTTCAAATGCTAATCTTATACGGTTTTGGTGCATGTGGGGGTACTCCCTCACCATTTTCATCTTGTCCTCTGTAAGATTTTGCTCTCTGTGACATGTTCTGTTATTATCATATGCAATGTGCTATAATTACATTACCTTTTTACACATGCACATATTGGCTTGCAAGTTTTTGATTTATTTTTTAATTGTTTTGCATGATTTAATCTAATACTTACATCTCATGAAATTTTCAGTTTCTATTGCTTATTCCAGTTGGGATTCTTCGGTGGATTATAATAATCCTCACTGGTTTTGCCTCAGCTAGCTTTGTTGCTTTGAACCTAAGATCCTATTTAGGAAGTGATCTTTCGGTGACCGTAATTGCAGCATTTGCCTTGCAAATAGCTTTGGCCGTCTTCATCAAAGTTCAGTTCTTCAAATAATTAATTTGAAGTGTTGCAGTAGCAAATTAAATAAAATATGAGCCACCATCATAGCTACCTCACTCCACTGGCTAGCTGTCTGCAGCAGAACTGGTTTGTTCCTTTTTTCTTTTCCCGTTAGTTGGATGCTAGAAGAGTCATCAAAGTAATGTGATAGATTGATGCAATGTTTGAGCTCCCTCAGCAATTTTGTAAATATCCAACCTCGGGATATTCGGTATGCCAAGGAAGGAGATGTCTTCTTGTTTGCTTATATTTTTCTATGAATGTATCAGTATTTTCTAACAGTTACTTAGTAGTTTGTAATATTTAGTCAAAAATCTTATTTATTTAATATATACAATTTCTTTTAAATATTTATAAGAGATATGTTGCCAAATATAGTCATTAACTGATTAGCATTTGATCAAAATATTTATTTGTATAATGATTTTAACTATCTTTCAATTGGTCTCTCCTCCTAAGACTCTCTACTTGTGAGTTTGAAGGAGGAAGGAGGAGAGTAGAGGGGAAAAAAGAGCAAGGGTAAAACTATCCCATATGTTGTAAAAAAAATCAATAATATATGTGTGATGTCACTTATATAAATTTTAATACTGAAGGTTCACTAGCACAAAAAAACTGAAGATTCGTGAAATCTATTTACATGTTTATCATCACTAAATTTTTTACATAATTACCAATCAATAATAAATTCTAGACCATATAATTATTTAAGTTGAATTATACCAAGCGAACTAACTACCACTTTCAATTCGTGTGGCAAAATATTTACTAATTAATAGTTTAAAATATATGATATCAAAATCACTTAATATTAAAGTCTTTAATTTGTTATACTAATGTGCTCTGTCGAACTTCCAATATCACGTAGATATAATTTTTATTTTTTTAAGAAAGGGACTTTAGTAATTCAGAACTTATGCCGAAAGATTATGATACTGGTCAAATACTATTTTTACTAAGAATTGAATTTGATATTCTTCAAATCTTATAATTCTACAAAAAAAATTGAATGCGATATACCTCAAATTTTAGATATAATTGAACATCACGTAGAAGTATATAATTTGAAAGCAAGTATATAATTTGAAAGTATTTGAATATAATAATTATGCCAAAAAAAAGTATATAATAATTATGGCATACGTTCATGCTCTTTAATTTAATTTAAAACAAAATAATAATGTTATTTTTGTTTGATAAGCATAGAGAGAGTTGATATTCACATTACATTGAGATGAAAATGTACTCAAAGTGTTACAAAATGATTGGACACTACAAGAAAAGTTGTGTCCAGCCACGTGATTTAGTGAAGTGAAAATCACGTGGCAAAATATTGACGGTTGTGAAGTGATTTTCACGTCACTAACTTGTTTAATATTAAAATAATATGAAACAAATATAGCACATGGTCTGTCAGATTTAAAAATTAAAAAAAACTTTAGTGACGTGATTTCGTGAAAATCACGTCGCAACATGTAAATAAAAAAAATAATAACTAAAACGATAGATTTATTGAAGCGGGAAGGGGAAAATTTTCAAATTTTGGTTTGCCACGTGAATATCACGTTGCAACCATTTAAGAGGAAAAAATATCTAACTTAGAAGTGATGGTTGACTCTGCTGCAGGTTATAAAAATGACCATTGAAACTTTTGCGACGTGAATATCACGTGGCAAAGTTGCGAAGTGATATTCACGTCGCTACGCAATTAATGTGAATAATTAAATATTAGCCGTTATATATTGCGACGTGAATTTTACGTGGCAAATTTGCGACGTGAAATTCACGTCACTAAAATTTTATTTATTGCACGCGTGAAAATTTCCCAGACCACACTTATTCCACTTCTTTTTCTTTCTCTCTCTTTGTTGCTTCTTCTTCTTCTACAAATTTCTTCTCCTTTGTTCTTCTTGTTCCAAAAAATTTCTTTATTTTTTTGAAGTTGTTTCTTGATTTTGCTTGTACAGGTAATATATTTTTCCTTTCATATAGTTATTGTTGAATTTTATTTTTATTAATTTAGTTTAAAATGTAATTTTATATGAGTTTAATATTTGTTTTTTTGTTGTCAAATTATCATTGTTAGTGAGAAAAGGAAAAAAGAAGGAGGTTGAAGAAGATTGAAGGAGTGTGAAGAAGAGGTATTTTTGCTATTTAATTTTTTATTTTAGTTTGATTTATTAATGTTGAATTGTTGTTAGATGAATAATTTTTTGTATGTTTATATTATTATTATTATTTATTATTAAAAAACGAATTTTGTAGAAACATTATTAACAATAAAACAAAATATTATTATTATTTATTATTAAAAAAATGAATTTTATAGAAACATTATTAACAATAAAACGAACTTTTGTTTATAAATGAGAGAAGTGAGAAAAGGAAAAAAAATTTAATATATAGTAACAATATTAAAAACTGAATATTTATAAAAAACTGAATATTAAAAACGAATTTTATAGAAACATTATTAACAATAAAACAAATTTTTGTTTATAAATGAGAGGAGTGAGAAAAGGAAAGAAATTTTTATATATAGTAATAAATATTAAAAACTGAATATTAACAATATTTTTAATTTTTATGTGTTATTAAATTCATTTATATTTTATTATTTTAAAAACTGAATATTAAAAAATAAATATCTTATTTTTAATCTTTTATAGAAATAATATTATATTTATATTATTATTATTATTTGTTATTAAAAACAGATTTTTGTTATTAGAAATAGAATAATAAATTTAGAAATAAAGTATTAAAAACAGAAATATATTATTTTTAAAGTTTTATTTATTTTTTGGTTATAAAATATTAAAAACAGAATATTAATAAAATATAAAAACAGAATATTAAATTTATTTTTAATGTTTTATTATTTTAATATTTATGTGTACTAAAAACAAATTTTTATATATAATAACAATATTAAAAACTGAATACTAACAATATTTTTAATTTTTATGTGTTATTAAATTTATTTATGTTTTATTACTTTAAAAACTAAATATTAAAAATCAAATATCTTATATTTAATGTTTTATAGAAACAATATTATATTTATATTATTCTTATTATTATTTGTTATTAAAAACAGATTTTTGTTAATAAAAAAAATTTATATATAGTATAAAATTATATATTAAAAATCAAATATATTATTTTTAATGTTTTATTTTTATTTGGTTATATTTACATTAGAAACAATATTATATTTATATTATTATTATTTGTAAAAACAATAGTATATTTATATTATTATTATTTGTAGAAACAATATTATATTTACATTACAAATATATTATTATTTGTAAAAACAATATTATATTATATTTATATTATTATTATTTTTATTTGGTTATATTTACATTAGAAACATTAATTCATTTAAAAAAACTAAAAAAAACTTTTAGCCACGTGAAAATCACTTCGCAAGTTGTGAAGTGAAAATCACGTCACAACTTTCTTACACACCTGCTGTGACTGAAATATTGTTTTATTTGTTGCGACGTGAAAATCACGTGACAAAGTTGTGACGTGATTTTCACGTGGCAACAAAGTTGCCACACGTCCTCCTGCCACGTGAATAGTCACGTCGCTAATATCAGTTTGTGAAGTGATTTTCCTTGTTGTGAAGTGAATTTCACGTGGCAGGATCCAGTTTTTTTTGTAGTGGGAACCTATAATATACAACTACATAACAGAAAAATGCAAACACTCGGGTCTGTAACCAGTTACAACTGACAATAAAATTAAAACACCTTCAGTGGTAACCGGTTAACCTCAAATGTTAACCAGTTACAACTTTGAATATTTCACTCTTTTGCTACTCAAAAGTGCTTCTAACCTTGCTATAACCGGTTACACCTTCGTGTTAACCGATTACAATCCTTGAATTACAAAAAAAAACACTTTTTACACGCCACCTTAATTCAAGTGCTCCAAATCTTGCATGCTCATGTTTATATTCAACCTCTTAAGCAAATTATTTGTGACTCCCTTAGTCAATAAATCAGCCACTTGGTCTTCACTTATGCAATATTTCAATCGTAACCTTCATTCACTAACAAACTCCCTTAAATAGTGAAACTCATCTCAATATGCTTGCTCTTCCTATGTTCAATTGGGTTTCTAGCAAGATTAATTGCAGAAAAATTGTCAACCATGAGTGTAACAACCTTACCCTCACTGGTGTCGAGCTCCTCCAATAGATTCATAAGTCGCACGACTTAGCACGCACATAACGAAGCGACAATGTACTCGAGCTCACAAGATGAGACTGTAATTACCGATTCCTACTTTGAACACCAAGATATTGGTGTTCCACCAAACACAAATATGTATTCGGTTGTAGACTTTCTATCATCTTTATCTCTGCACCAATTGGAATCGATAAAACCAGAAAAATTGCATTTTCTGCCCATATCCGTTACGGGAAAGAGAATTCCGCAACCAACAAAACCTTTGACATATCTTAGGATCCTCTTTAGTGTTGCCAAGTGAGACACCTTCAGTCTCCCCATGAAATATCGATACTAAATGCCAAGTTCGGTCACGTATTACACAAATAACGCAAAGATCTAATCAACCTCCTATATTGAGTTTATCAACATCTTGTTCATCTTCATTCTTAGATAACTGCGGCCTTGGTTCATCCAGAGTAATGACAACATTATAATGCTCCATTTCAAACTTCTTCAATATCTCAAGTGCATGTCTTCTTTGGCGCATAAATAGTCTCTTTTTGGACTTGTGAAACTCAATGCCAAAAAAGTATGTCATAAGGACAAGGTCGATCATCTCAAACTCTTTCATAAGTTCACTCTTGAACTTTCAAATGCACTTTTTGTTGTTGATTGTTATCAACAAGTCATCTACATATAGACAAAGGATAATCACTCATTCACTTGTATTCGTCTTCACATACACTCCATGCTCGGATACACATTTCTTGAAGCCAACCTCCTTTAGGAAATCATCAATTCTTTTGT